ATACAAATGATCAATAGGCACATGAAAAAATGCTCCGTATCACTAATTATCAGAGAAATGCAAATCAAAACTACAAACTACAAAACTTCACCTCACACCAGTCAGAATGGCCATCATTCAAAAGTCCACAAATGACAAATGCTGGAGAGGCCGTGGAGAAAAGGGAACCCTCCTGCACTGCTGGTGGGAATGCAGTTTGGTGCAGTCACTGTGGAAAACAGTATGGAGATTCCTCAAAAGACTAGGAATAGACTTACCATATGACCCAGGAATCCCACTCCTGGGCATATATCCAGAAGGAACCCTACTTCAAAAAGACACCTGCACCCCAACGTTCATAGCAGCACTGTTTACAATAGCCAAGACATGGAAACAGCCTAAATGTCCATCAACAGATGGCTGGATAAAGAAGAAGTGGTATGTTTATATAATGGAATACTATTTAGCTATAAAAACTGACAACATAATGCCATTTACAGCAACATGGATTTTCCTGGAGAATGTCATTCTAAGTGAAATAAGCCAGAAAGAGAAAGAAAAATATCATATGAGATCACTCATAAGCGGAATCTAAAATAAATAAATAAATAAATGTAAAACAGAAACAGAGTCACAGACATAGAATACAAACTTGTGGTTGCCAAGGGGGCGGAGGTGGGAAGGGACAGACCGGGATTTCAAAATGTAGAATAGATAAGCAAGATTGTACTGTGTAGCACAGGGAAATATATACGAGATCTTGTGGTAGCTCACAGCGGAAAAAAAAATGTGACAAATATGAATGTTCATGTATAACTGAAAAATTGTGCTCTACACTGGAATTTGACACAACATTGTAAACTGACTATAATTCAAAAAAAATGTAAAAAAAAAAAAAGAGGACTTTCACAAAGGATCTGGGGTTGGGCTTCAGGGAGATTCCCCCCAAAATTAATTAACTTAGATATTTTGGGGGGAGAAAATCCACAGCTTTCATCAGAAAAAGTTTTTAATGACAAAAGGAAAAAAAGGGTGTAAAAACACTGCATCCACATTTTAGAGTAAAAACTGACTTTCTCGTGGAAAAGTTCCTGTCTTGAAAGTGCTTCTATCTTTGGAATAAGAGAATCACTCAGTTGAGATGAACTTACATGAGATACTGACCTTCTAAGGTCCGTTAGATAGAAGCCTTTTCTTAGGCACAAAACAAAGAGTGCACATACCTTTTTTCCAAGTCTCTGATCTTCTCTCTGAGCGGTTCAACAATCTGAAACGAAAGTAACCAGAATCCGTTTTAAGGCAGAAACGCCGCCCTCCGCCACCCTCACCCGACTCTGACGTGCAGGACATGACACAGCAGGGACGTCGGTTCCCCTGCAGGGCATGTCCAGTGTGACATTAAGTCAGACTGCGGGAACCCAATTCTGGAGTCCAGGTGATAAACTGTGTGTTGGAACCTCTTCAAAGACGCCCAAGGGCTTCCCCACGACTGGTGTTTGGCTTCAAATCAGAGTGAGCAACCCTCTACGCCTCTCCCCGCCCACCTTACAACAGCTTATCTGTCCCTACATTTGACCAAAACACAAGCAGTTATTTTAAAACAGAAGGTGTGAAATGGACAAGGCACTGGCTTTCTGTGAGACAGGCGCAGCCCCCTCAGCCATGCACCTGCCGGCCCTTCGTGTTCTGGGTCCTAGCATCCGAGATGGGCCAATCTTCCCCTCGGTACCTACTCAGGTGAGTGGGGGCGGGGCCCGCCTCCAACCCTGATGCAGGCACTCGCTTCCTTTCTCTAAGAAATCCTGGAAAGGCTCACCTGAAAGGTCACATAAAAGTTTAAATCCAGTTTGCCTTTAAGGCAGAATTTGTTTCAATACATCACACCTTCATAAACGGATAAATGCTGGCCCCAAGGTGCGTCCACAGCCTAACAATCAGAACATCTCCTCCCGAACCAGGGAACGACTCAGGGAGAGCTGGGGTCTCCGTCGCAGGTCAGCGGCCACAATAGAGCTGCCAGCCCGAGCAGGGGAAGGAAGTGGGCAGATACGAGACACGGCAGAAGCAAAATGCGGGAGAGAGGCTGACCTCTTCAATCTTGCTCTCAATCCTGAGTTCCCCGTTCTCCTGGATGGACCTGGTGAGCAGAAAACCACAAAACTGAGATCCGCCAAAAGGCTCCGCGGCTTCCAGGTTTGTTTCTGGACAAATGACCACAACACAGACCACAGGCTGCAGCCCCTCCCTCTCCTCCTGGAGAGGCCGCCCCAGGCCCCCAGCCCCTCCAGGAGGGGAGGCCAGCGGACAAGACTCCTGGGGGGGGGCCCGCCCCCCACCCATCTCTCAGGCGCACCACCATCTTCTGGGGTGTTTCTGTTAAACTAAGAGGGTCCCACTTTCACGTGATGCCCAACGTAGGGTTTTAAATTAGAGGCAAGAAGTGTGTCTATGGAGGACATGTTTCTTTGCTGGGCTTCCCTGGGATTTAATGCAAAATGGAGTTTTTCCAAGTGAAAAGACAGCGCTCCTTTAATGGGACTGAGTGGCCCTCCCAGCCACACACAGAAGCCTCTGTCCAGACACACAGCAGCCCTGGTGGAAGGAGTCGGGTCAACACGGCCCGCCCGGCTGCAAACCTTGCTGGCCCTGGAGAGCCTGGGGTGGGGGTAGGGGGTGCAGGGCCACCCTCCCAGGCCTCCTGCGGCCGCACCGCCCACAACCTGCCCGGCACCGCCCTGGCTGCTGCTCTTCTACCCCTCCGCCCAGACACACAAAGTGGAGGGAATTCTTCAAATGCAAAACTGTGTGCGCAGCATCAAATCTGTTTTCACAGTGACTGCCTATTACTTCTGGATGATTTTTTTTTTTAAGAATCCCAGCACAAGGATTTTACTAGTGACCCTGATGCTCTGTTCAGCAGACAAATGAGGCTCCCTCAGGCCTGAAGCTCCCCAGGCCGCCCCGCCCCTGAGACAGACGGGTGGTCTCCGCACCCACTGGTCTGCTCCCCTGGAGGGGGCTGGGGCCCGGGGCAAGGGCAGACAGCTTCCCCAGGACGGGCCCTTCTTGAAAGGCCTTGGAAAAGCCTCCCCGAGTGCACATTTCAGTAGCCTGAAAGCTGGGGTCCACCCGCCTCCGCCTACCGGGGAGGGCCGGGCTGAGGTGGGCGGCTCAGGGGGCCTCCACTCTCCACACCCGGGCTGGACTCGGGTCAACATCAAAACCAGCTGCGCGCCTCAAGAACAACCACGGGAGAGAAGACCCAGCCCAGATGCGTGAACAGCAAAAAGACCCAGCTTCACTTTCCCACATTCCTCAGTTAGTCCCGAGACATCAATGGTGTGTATGTAGCAACTGAAATGTCTCATTAAAAACAACTCAAGTTACTATTATTAAAGTTATTAAAAATGATTACCTCATATTAACCAAGTTGCCCCAAACAGCTGTAAGGGAAAGAGAAAGGAAAAGTCAACATTTACATTCACGACACTCAAGGACTCCAACTAGTACAATATTAATATTTAACCAACATCTTACAGTTCACTGAGAAAACTGTAGCTTAGGAAGACAACAAAATACACATTTTTAACATAAAAAGTCCTACTAAAAATAAGCGAAACGATGACCCTATAAATCCCCTGATTTGGGGATAACCTTTTGGGGTTTGGAGTGCAACTGTGCACGTGTTTTTGTTTGTTTTTTTTTTAACTGAAGTCTAGTCAGTTTATAATATCGTGTCAATTTCTGGTGCACAGCATCATGTCTCAGTCATACATGAACACATATACAGTCATTTTCATAGTCTTTTTCATTATAGATTACTGCAAGATATTGAATATAGTTCCCTGTGCTGTACAGTATGAACTTTTTGTTTATTTATTTTGTATATTGCAGTTAGTTTCTGCACATCCTGAACCCCTGATTTCAGCCACAGAAGATGGAAATCCTGCCCTCTTAGTAACATGGGGGGACCCTCAGGACATTACATCTGGTAAAATAAGTCACAGAAAGACAAAATCGTACAATTTCACAGTAACAACCACCCTAGCCCACAGACGCAGAGACCAGATTAGTGGCTGCCAGAGGCGGGGTGTGGGGGAAAGACGTGGGGGAAAGAAATAGGGGAACGGGGTTAATATAAGTCCTGGGGATGCTGGACGTTGTCTGCGGGTGGTGACTACAGTTAACAACACTGCACTGTATGCAACATTGTAAATCAACTATACTTCAGTTTTGAAAGTGGGGGAAAAACAACACTGCATCGGATACTTGAGGAAAATTGCTAAGAGAGTAAATCTTGAAATCTCATCACACACAATAAAAAGTACGACTCCGAAGCTACGTTGGAAAGTGGTAATGCAGGCAGGACAGTTCCAGAGGGGAAAACAGATCTGCAGTGTGACTTCTGCTACTAAAACATACATAGGAAAAAAAAAAAGCTGTCTGAAGATGCCAAACACCGAGTTCACACGGGGACGTAACTGTGTTCCTTGCATTTATGTGCCTACTTTGCTTTTGAAAAAGGAGGGGAAAGATTTTTAAATGCCTGCTAAGGTGCGCGGCCCATTCGAGGTCTCTTCCCAGACAACTCATGAGCATCCGTCTGGCTGGTCCTTACCCGGATGCCAGCGTCCACAAACCAGGAGCTGCCAAACCCCGTGGACAACCGTCCTCACCGTGTATCTCAAATAAATAACAC